CGAGCACTTATTGATGTTGGGGACGGTAAGCTTGTCCTCCGCGTTGGGGATGAGACTGCCACCTTTGATATGTCCAAAATAATGAAGAGGCACTATCAAGATAGTGGAGAGTGTTTTTATATGGATGTCATAGATTCTATGGTGGAGGAATGCACACCTAACATGCTTTCTGATGAAGCCTTCTTTGATCTTTCGTTGGATGATAGTTTGTCAGCAGAGGATCTTGAGTCCCTCCCTAGTTTTGATTGTCTTATGATTAGTGGAGAGGAGGACTCAAGTGATGTTAGTTCTGTGCAGGGGACGAAAGATGATTTAGATGAGGTGGAGAAGGAAAATTTTCAGTCCGATTCATTTTTTGTTACTCCTTTATTAAATTTAAAGCCTCTTCCATCCCACCTTGAGTATGATTTTATTGATGACAGTCCTGACCCCCCCTGTTTTTCTTGCATCCGGGCTTGAGCTATGCCAAAAATCAGCATGTCTTAATTTACTTAGTGAACAAAGGGAAGCTTTAGCTTGGAAAATTTCTGACATGAAAAGGATTAGTCCATTCGTTGACCCATTCTTTGCTAAAGGGCCCGATAAAGGCCTTGATCCATTCTTTTGCTTTACGGGTGGCCCTGAGATGCGTAACTGTTTTCACGAATTTAAGGTCTTACGCCATCTCAAGGCATTTGTTGATAGGAGATTTGACATGTGGAGAACTAGTTTTATGAGTGGGAGTGTCTTTAATTGAGTTTTGATGAGGTAGTTGCATCGGGCAAACGATGATAAAAATAGCGCTTCTTGGGAGGCAACTCAAGCTTATATCTGCACTTTTGTCTTTGTTTGTTTGCTTTCAGAAAACCCCCGAAAAAAAAGAAAAAAAGAAGAAGAAAAACGAGGTGTTTTCTGTTTTTTGTTTTTGTGTTTCGTGTGTTTTTGTTTTTGCAGCTCAGGGTCTTGCGTTGGGGTGATGTGCCGAGGATCACTTGACTCAGTTTAGTTCTGTGCCGACCATCGCCTTAGGGAAGTTTCTGCGACTCTAATTATGGCCTGTTTTGTAAATGTTGACTTGAGTTGAGATTGAGAACGTGTGACCCTTTCCTCTTTACCCCTTGTGCATAGTGCATTTTTGGTCATCGAGGGCGATGCCAAAGTTTAAGTGTGGGGGAGTGAATTGGGCATACGGGCAATAGTTGTTACATGTGATTATTAGAGTTAGCATGCGCAGGTGTTAGTTGTATATTCATAGGAAATTTATGTCAAAATTTTTGAAATTTTTTTCTTTAAACTTTGTCTTTGTGAGATGGCTAGCGTTTTGACTATGCTTTTAGAATGTTCTTGAAGTGTTTAGGCTTAATTTGCTTGCACTATAATCTAGTTGTTGAGAGGATGAAGGCATTAGTCACCCATTTAATGAATTAACAAAGTTCCTATTTGACCTGAATAAGTCCTTTAGGAGAAGCCATTTTGAGCCTGACCGTTTGTTCTTTACCCAATTAATTGAGCTTCATAGCCAAATGGCCTGTGTTTCCTTACCCGTGAATATTTTTGACAAAGTCTTAGTGTTTAGGGAATTAAGGGATTAATTTGCTAAGTTTAGGGAATTTTTGTAGGAGCCATTTTTGGCACTATTCCTATGCCCCAAATGGGGTACGAGCAGTCACTTTTTAGGAATTTGATATTTTCGAGGATTGCATTGTAGGCATGGATTCACTGTGAATAATTGAACTTTAATTGCCAATTTTCCTTGGTTAGGCCGAGATTAGAATGGGGTAATGTCTAGTAAAAATATGAAAAGTGAAAAATTAATATAGCTAGACCTCTTGTCTAACGAAAAAGAGAATGGGAGCCCCGGTCAAAAAGAGAATGGGAGCCCCGGTCAAAAAGCGTCAGATGAGACTTGAGTATATTTCGAAAGGAATGACGTTCTCGTGCGCAAAAGCACAGATGTGCCTGCGCCGATTTAGCTTAGTTGTACACCATGTCTGCTTTTTCAATAGGTTTAAATGATTGTTCCTAATTTGTGGCCTACTAAGTTCCTTGTTCCAAAGAATAGCCCCGAAATTACTGAAGGCATTGAGTTTTTGTTAGAATATTCCGATCTCTCAAAGAAAGGGACTGATTTTGTTTATCCATTGACCATCCACCACCACCTTCACAAGTCCTTCTGATCAATAATTAGTTTAGTTGTGTGTGCTGTCACTACTTTGAGGATATTGTGAATAATTTTGTCAAATAGTTTAGCTTGAGTACAAAGATGTAGTTTAGGGAAGAATTTTCTTGGTTTAGACTGTCTGTTATGTGAATATCCCTTTAACTACATGTGCATGCTAATTATTTTAATTCGGTGTGGTGATTATCGTGAGTCCCGTTGTTCAGTTTGCTTGAGGACAAGCAAATGCTTAAGTGTGGGGGAATCTGATGAGTCCATATTTAGACACGCATTTGATGCTTGTTGGGATCGGCTTTTGATGGTTTTCCTAGCTTTAAGGTGTTGCAAGTCTCAATTTTAGCTCAAGTTTGTTTACCACGCGTTGGTTCGAGTTTTGTGTCATTTGGAGTCAAAATCAGGAATTTAGAGTTCGGCATCGGCGCTTGAGGAGCAATCAGGATGATTCGAAATGCATTCGAGAGTGGATTGAGATATTTGGAGATCACCGGGAGGTTCACGATGAAGATTTGATGACAAAAGAGCTCTAGGATTCGCTATGGGATAAAAAGAAGATGAATGAAGCTTGAAAACGACGATCAGAATGACCTTCTGTCAATCGTTCAAGCATATCTCTTTGTAGAAACATCCAACATACACGATTCAAGTTCCACATGAAAGCCAAATTCAAGGTCTACAAATCATATGAAGACATCATTCCGAGAATCTGAGAGGAGAAAGGTGAAAACAGACGATGAAGTCGGATGCTCGCTGTTGAGATTTCAGAATGAGAACTTCCACCATTTTGATCATATCTTTTGATTGGATGATTCAAATCCCATTCGGCAATTTGTGGTGGATAAAGGACTTCATTATATACAACTTTCATGAAGGAAGTTTTGTCAAATTCGGAATTTTTATGCACGCCGTGCGTAGGGGAACGCACGACCGTGCGTCCGAAGTGAGAACGCAAGGTAGCTACTGCCAGCCAGCACGACTGTGCGTGGACGTTTTTTACGCGATTCGTCTGTCAGACGCTGGGGGACGCACGCCGTGCGTGGGCTCCGTGCGTGCCCCCAGTAGCCCCGTTTTACGCGGAAATTAATTCCCAACTCGGCCAGAATTCGTTTTCCCCCCTTTTTCTATAAATAAGGTCTCCCTAACCCTATTGAAGAGGTTATGAACATTACGGCGAGGCCTAGGGACGGATTTACTTGCGTTTTTACCATTGTTTACTCCAAGACCCTGAGATTATTTGTAAGTTCATCTTTTTAATTAATGACAATTAATTCTATTCTTTACAATTCTATTGATTCTTCAATTATGAATTGTGAGTAGTTTAATTAGGGATTTGTGATTGATGAAGGGGTTGATCATGATGTATGGCTAGGTTCTTGTTGGATTAATTGCATGAATGCCGTTTAATTTGTGTGTGAACAATTTAACAGATATCTTTTGTAACCTAGAACGCGCGCTAGAACTACAATTGCTTGTACAATAAATTAAGAGAGATCTAATTTATTCTAGGACACATTCACACACACTTAATAGTTCGCTAAGAGATTAGTAGCGATTAAGGGACCGTAAGCTCGCTCGTCTTGGCAATAATTTAGGATCCTATCGCATGAGAGATCAGCCTGGTCCCCTAAATTATTGTACTCTACGCCGCGAGAGCGGTAAGAACTTGGTAATGATTAGCTAAGCTCAATTAAATTAATTTCATGTAATTAGGCCTGATCTGCCAGAAATCTGGTTACTCCGGAATTAATCCTTGTTCCCTTCGTCGTTAATTAAGAAGAAACCAAATTTATTTTTATTCGTTAATCTGCATTAGTTTAATTTTCCAAATCAACCATTTATCTCGCACGACGCATTTATTTTATTTATTTCTTTTAATCGGTGAATTTAGTTCATTCTTGATTCCTTTTTGTCTGTCCCTGTGGAGACGATACTCGTACTTACACCACTATATTACGATCTATTTGATGTGCGAGAAAATTCAAATCACTGTATAACCAAGTTTTTCTTAATTTATTTTTGAAAACACGTTTCTTAGTTTATTTTTGGAAACACATCCTAGTTGCCTTGGGTTTAGGATTTACTTTTCTATAAATACAAGCTCTCTCCCTTGTAATCATGTGTGGATCCGAAAATAGCAATAATATTCCAGGCTTGGTAGCGCCCCCAGACGTAGTCATTCGTCGCGAACTGGGTTACTAAAATTTTCTTGTGTTCTTATTATTCATCGCGTGCGTTTGTTTAATTCCTAACAGATCCAGCATGTCAAAATCAGTTCCAGGCAATAGTCTATGATTCAGACAATAGCTCATAATTCAGACATTAGTCTTCAGTTTCAAGTCGTTGTGCCAAATATAGCCTAAAGAACAAATAACATATATCAAAACATATTAATGTCTTTTTTTGTCTTTTTATCTGGTAACCACTAAGAGAAAACAATTAAGTTATCAAACATCTTTGTGACACTCGTCAAACTAATCTACCGGCCAAATTCATCACTTTATCGGAAATTTACAACTCGTTAACATTTTTCGCTATCAGATAGAATTTTACTTTGTGTCCATGTCCGGTTACACGCCGGCTTACACGCCCAAATGTAATTGTCTATGCACAGACAATTACACTCGGACTCAGTAAAAGAAAGTGTCTGTGATCCTGAATTGTCTGTGCATAAACAATTTATTTCTTGAATTCAAACAGTTCCTTTTATTAAAATTCTTTGCACGGTACTGTGCACGAGAAGCAAAATTCATAGGCTAATTGCCAAACAAGCTTATGATGTTTGCGGTTTCCCAACTTTTAACAACCCTTAACTAGGAGTTGGCGGGTTTGGTCTTTGGTCGTTACGGACTTTACGGTCAAAACGGGTGTTTTAAGAATAACGAAGAAAGATGCATAACCTCTCCTCCACAAGCCCGTTCGGGGTCGATTCGCCTCTTCCTCCATTCTCAATCGAGCATGCCCCGATCAAGGTAACTTCTCTTCATCATTATCCGTTCATTCCCCCCTCCCACTCTTCCAATAAGTACATAATCTTTTCAAGTGTAATAAAACGTGTGCTATGATTATTCTATAGCCAGTTTATTTCATTATGGTAATCGTTTGCAATCTGATCTCGATCAATAATTCCAACTCCCGATTGTTAGGTTGCTGGTATAATTTTGCACGACAATGAATTTTCTATTGATGAGGTCGAATCAGGCTGCTGCTCCTGCTGAACTGCCGCCTTCTATTCAGCCCGGGACTAGCTATGTGTCAAAGCCGAGTAGTGGTACACTTGGTGCACTTTTTGCGGAAGATCCCTTATTACAGACCAAGTCATTTGAGAACCATGATGGTGACAGCGACGGACATGGGAATGATAGTGGGTTTATTGCCGGATCAATTGGGACGGGGAATCACATTGAAGTTACTGAAGGTGAAGGGTGGATAGCTATTCCAAAGAGTAATCTCTTGCTCCTTTTTCTTGTCATGTAGAGAGCTGCTGCACTTATTGTATATGGATGGTATTATCCAAGTAAGAAGCTTAGTTGATTTCAGCCCTTTGATGGGCATACTCATCATTTTCTTAAATCTCCAAAGCCAGAATGATTGGAGGAGTTAACATAAATTCTATAGACTTTAATGGAGTTTGTAGAACTTGCATTTTTTTGTCTTGTAATGTTTAACCATCATTTTTTACTCTTGAAAATGTATGCGCCAATATCTTATGCAGTATATGTGAAGCAATTTTGCTAAATCTTGTTTCTTAAATTTGAAAACCGTGAACCAATTTAACAAATATGCATACTCAACCCTTTTACGTGCGGGGAGGCTCTAATCAGCCAAAAGCTCTATGGTAGAATAAAACTGATAAACCAATGCCAGTTTGAGACTTTGAGCTTGTGCAAGGTTCCTGCGAACACTCGAGCGCGTAAATCTATTCCTTTGATTACGTTGCACCATGTTCTGCCACCATTGCTCTACTCAGACCATTGTTCTACTTACTTGGCCTTAACCCCCCATTTGGTGCAATTACTTTCTCAATTGCATAAATTCTTCATGCAATAAGGGGAATCTAAATAACATAAGCTGTTGGCTATTGCTAAGCTTGACAAGCTTTCGCAGAAGAGCTTCCTGATAACTGGAGTGAGGCACCAGACATAACTTCCTTGCGCTTGCTCGACCGCTTCTTTGTTTTTCCTGGTAACTATTCCTTTTCTGTCACCCTTCACCCTAGATCTCCAAAACTGTTTATACTGGTTGGAAGGAATCCTCTCTGTTGTGATTGGGTATCCTTTTTCTTGTTAATCATAGGCGAACAAGTTCAGGTCCTAGCATGCCTGTCAGCATATAAGAAGGATACTGAAATTATTACACCATTTAAAGTTGCTGAACTTATGAACAAAAAAGGGCTTGGGGAGAATAACCACAAAGAAGGTGGCAGTGATGTGACTGACACTCATGATGTTTCTGACAGAGCAGAAATAAATGACTGCGAAGATATTAATAAGACCAATAAAATTAAAATGCAGGGGAATGTTGAATCTGAGAAAGAAGTTTCTGCGGGTGCATCTCTTCTGAGAATGGAAGATTACAAAAGACAGACTGAATCCCTGCTGCGAAGGTTTAAAAACTCTCATTTCTTTGTCCGAATTGCTGGGTCAGAGGAGTCACTATGGACAAAAAGAAAGCTTATGGAAGACTCTTCTGGTTTTGATGAAATGTTCATGGGGATTGGTTTAGATGCTAGGCATACTACAAAAAAGAAGCCTCCTTCAATGGCTGCCATTGATAGAGGGAATTTTGATTCCATCACATCTGGAGGAGTGGGAAGGAATGCTGCCAAGTGTTGCGCTCTTCCCAATGGAAATATTGGGGTATGTTTCAACTAATTTGATGGAAGTCACTGTATAAATCTGAACCCTTACGGCCTTACCTCCCAAACCCCTTCTCTGTTTAGGGGATTTGGGAAGGAGGGGGTGGGTGATTTTCAAAGGAAAGTGGAAGTAAGAAACTACTAAGAAATTCATGATTTAAATAAGGAGATACTACGTATTATTTTCTGCTGCGGTTCTAATAAATAGGGATGAATTAGTAAATTGTTGTGGTGCTATGGGATAATTATAGGCTAAAGTAGTTATTAGATTCAAATGTGCTGATACTGGCTGTCTCAGAGCTTCTGAATAAAAGAATATGAACACACACACACACACACACACATATATATATATGTACGAGGGGAGACCTGGAGGGGTTTGTTGATGGCACATTGATTTTACCTTAGGGGCATAAATGAAACCTAATGTTTAGAATGATTTATGGGAATTATTAGCATAATAATTGTAATGCAATGAGTAGACGTATTCTTTCTTACGTTCTTAGCCGAGACCACTTTAGTTATTGACGTATTGGTGGGCATGTGTATGTGTGTGGAACAACGTAAAAATTATTATTTCTGATTTCATAATTGTGAGAGTTTTTCTTTAACGTGCAAGGCTGTTTTCTTTGTTGAACCAAGTATTCTCTGAATTGATAATTTTTAAATTTACTAAACTTGTTCCTTCAATTTATTGTCCGGAAGGATACAGGTACTTTTACAGATAAATGTTGGTGTTGAATTTGTGAGGGATCCTGTATTGGAAATTCTTCAGTTTGAGAAATCTCAGGATAGAAGTTTGTCTTCTGCTGGCCATGAAAATTCAGTGTGTCCCGACCAGGATCCATGTGGTGAGCTCTTAAAGTGGTTGCTTCCTTTAGATAATTCTATTCCTCCTCCAGCACGATCCCTAACCCCACCTCATTTGACTTCTACTGCAAGCATCCGAAGTACATCTACAAGGGTTACCTTATCCGGACCAACTGGATCTCAGCTTTTCTCTTTTGGAAACCTCAGAAGCTACTCCATGTCTTCACTGCCGCAAAATAGTTTACCACCTTCATCAACTTCAACCCCCAATTCTGGACCCAGCTTTGAACCAGAAGATTGGGAGCGGTTTTCATTTCGTAAGGCAATCAAAAGTGAAAATAGCGGTAGCAGAGGGCTTTTGTCCTATAGAGGTGTATCATTGGAACCTGAAAGATTTTCTGTACATTGTGGTTTGGAAGGGATTTACATACCTGGAAGGAAATGGAGGAAGAAAATTGAAATAATTCAACCACTTGAAATCACTTCTTTTGCTTCTCACTGCAGCATAAATGACCTCATATGTGTTCAAGTAAAGGTATGTTGCTCTTAAATGTTCTGTTATTTGAACTTTTAAGAAGTTTGACAAAAAATGTCATCTACCCCACATTTTATTGCTTAAAAGGAATGATTTTATTCGTTCATCACTTAATCTGAATATGTAATATATGTGAGTGTGTGTAGAGATGTTGAGGGAACAATTAAAAAAAAGATTCTAAATGTCCACCGGATGTGTTCTGAGGCTACTATTTGTGTGCTGATGTTAGTGTTTTTCAACACCCCTCTCGAGCCGGAACTTGTAGAGCGAATTCTCCAAGTTTTAGTGGAAATGTATGACAGCCAGATGTTTGAGCTGACAAATGAGGTAATAATCTCCCGAGAAGTGAGCATTATGGTTAAATGACAATCACTGCAATGTTTTTTTGTTCTTCCGGAGCACTTGTTTAGAAGCAATATGCAATGCCGCTTGATTGTCACATATATGTTTCATATATCCCTGTGTTCAAATATTTAATTCCTTAAGTGCTTTAAGCCTTTAAGGAAATAAGCTCACAAGCTCTGAATGTCATTGAACCCTATCTGTCATCCGCACTAGTTTGACTACTATATCCTAATGCTGACCTCTTATCCCTGGCCCTGTGACTTCTGTACAGGCACAAGTTTTATACCATAAATCATATCTTCTGTGAGACTTATGCTTTTTTGTGGCTTTCAATGAAATGGATAAAGTGGTGTGTTTTACGTGGTTGTACCACAAACAAGGCCAGCATAGTAATATCATTTCTGAAATTTGAAGGGTAGTCAGGCTGCAATGGTAATTCATAAATTGAAAAAACAAATACGGAGTAGTATTGTTTACAATAGGAAAGTGGAATTTATTTTGGGCTGAAGTGCTGTACTGTAAAGGACAGCAAGGACATATTGAATGGGGCAGAAGGAGTGCATCCCAACATCCGAATGATTACATCTCAATTATTATCACAAGGAGATGCTAAAAACTGACTAATGCTTACATAAAAGTGATGGCATTTCTTAATTGCCTCCTATTCCTACAAAGATCTGCCACGGACTTAACTTGATCGAAGTTTAACTTTAGGACCCATAGGGGTGTCAATTCGCCTATAGTTTGCTATACCGTCATACCCGTTTTGTTTAGAATATCCACAGCATATCTTCAGCGAGACATGCAGTGCAATGCTTTCCCCAAGAAACCTCAATTCTCAAGAAGTACTTGATCTTACCAAGGCTGTTAGTGTTGAAGTGATATGTGTAACAGAAGTATGCGTTCATCAATATCACATGTGGTGATGTATTATATCAACATGTATACATGATAGAGATTTTTACCTTGAACTAAACCAAATTCCTGAACCATTATACTAAATTGACCAAGACATGTTAGGGGCTTAGGGGATTGGTTTAAACCATAAGGAGAGTGGTTGAGCATACAAATAAACTCTTATCCTTCCTGAAAAACAAAGCAATTTGTTGTATTGGAACTTACAAGACTATTGACAACTCAAGAGATGAAAATAGTGGGAGTTCTACAATTCTTAAGCCTTGCTATTAGACCCATCTTCTTTGGTGAAGTTGTAGGTCAAATCGAGAAAGAAATATGGGTAAAAAGGATAGATTACCCCAAATTTGATCAGTGGCCATAGAGCGGTGGATTTATGTAGAGTTTGACTGTGACGCAGGAGCGATAGAAAATGTCTTGTGGATAATGGTAGCCCAGAAGGTCTTATATTATACTCCCTCCATCCCTTATAACTTATCCAAGTTTGACCGACATGTGGAATCAGAAAGTAGAAACTTTGTGACATAGGTCAATGTAGGAATAGGCAATGTCCCTCCATCCCTGATTACCTAAGATCCCTGATTCCTTCACTATAGGCCAGTTCAATAGGCAATGTTGCACCTATGACCAACCCAAAGGCAACTGCAGTACCAATCAAAAGACATTGCTAATGGATGATGAAATGGGTTGTGGTATTTATCAACATTTTCTGAAAAAGGTATTGTTACTAATCTTGCCAGTACTACAACCACTAAAGAACACCTAGTATTTTGTTAGGCACTGTATGAAGAATTTGAATTACAGGAAAAATTTCTGACAAGGTTGGGAATGTATTTGCGGGTTCACCAATCATTGATGAAAATAGTGGGAGTTCTACAATTCTTAAGCCTTGCTATTAGACCCATCTTCTTTGGTGAAGTTGTAGGTCAAATCGAGAAAGAAGTATGGGTAAAAAGGATAGATTACCCCAAATTTGATCAGTGGCCATAGAGCGGTGGATTTATGTAGAGTTTGACTGTGACGCAGGAGCGATAGAAAATGTCTTATGGATAATGGTAGCCTAGAAGGTCTTATATTATACCCCCTCCATCCCTTATAACTTATCCAAGTTTGACCGACATGTGGAATCAGAAAGTAGAAACTTTGTGACATAGGTCAATGTAGGAGTAGGCAATGTCCCTCCATCCCTGATTACCTAAGATCCCTGATTCCTTCACTATAGGCCAGTTCAATAGGCAATGTTGCACCTATGACCAACCCAAAGGCAACTGCAGTACCAATCAAAAGACATTGCTAATGGATGATGAAATGGGTTGTGGTATTTATCAACATTTTCTGAAAAAGGTATTGTTACTAATCTTGCCAGTACTACAACCACTAAAGAACACCTAGTATTTTGTTAGGCACTGTATGAAGAATTTGAATTACAGGAAATATTTCTGACAAGGTTGGGAATGTATTTGCGGGTTCACCAATCATTGATGGTTCTAGAACTGTTAAACCTACATTACATGCAATACTACCAAGAATAACTAATGGAAAAATTTATAAGAGATCATCAGGCCATGCGGACTCCCCTTAATAATTATGACCCATAGCTATTGCTAATTTTTCTGTTCTTATAGGATCATTCAAATCATAATTGTTTTTTGTTATTGGGGTAGGTGAAGTTATATAGATCCTATCCCTGAGAGAACCGGGAGTTTCCCATTTCTCCCACCCTCTTTATAATCGAACAAGGGGTCCGATTTTAAATTAAGCTGCATGCGCATAGCATTGACCATGGGGTTGAAAAACACTTTGAAGTGCAACAGCTCCAACAAGTTCACCGGAAACCACTAGCTAAACTGGAGGATTTGTATGAAAAGGCTACTGTATCAGTATTAGGTTCTGGAACAGTGTTTTGGGTCATTAGAAGTTCATAACAGTGGTCATGGTTGCATGAAATTTGTGAAATTGTCCTAAGAAGGTTGCGGGGAAGACACTAGCTAATCTGGAATATTTGGCTCTCGATGGAAGAAAGCCTCACGAGTCAACCTGTGGTAAGAGGAAGGATATAGGTGATGTGTGGAGGCCCGTGCATACTTCTTCAGGAACAGGGTTCTTCAGATTAATTAATTGAAGAAAACAAAACTCATGGTCTTTGGCCCTCTGCCTTCCATTTTCAAGGAAGAAAAGTATCAGCCCACGAGTGTCTCAAATAGCCCTATAACTTTGTTAAAACTGGGAAGGTTGTCTTTATATATCTCATAATACAAAGGTACAGTATGGATGAGTATGTAATACTATGTATAGAGATGTTGAGGACACAACTAAACTAAAAAATGGATCCTGAATAAGGTATGTGACGTTAATGCTCGTACACATATTTAATTATATTTTTACCCTCATTATCAAAAATATATTTTTGAATTGAAATTTGAAGAATAATCGTATGCATTTAGCACATGTTTAAATCAAATCAAATCAAATCAAATCATCATTTACCCCAGTGCCGCAAAGGCTCCCACGTACGGTGGAGTAAGGGGGGTCGGATGTACGCAGTCTTACCCCTGTACCAAAGCACAAAGAGACTGTTTCCGGATGACCCATAATGAAAATCGCGTCCAAAATTGCATGGGCTGACTGCTGCTTCATAACAAAGAAGACCAGACAGTTTGGTGAGCCATTTTGCTTTATTCCATCATATTCTCAAGCCAAAAAACTAAATGCCCTTTCTTAAATGACACATAGTAAGTTTTAAAGGGGCATCTAGGGGACATAGGCAACATCAGTTCGGTTCTACCGATGATGCCTCTCTGGATTTATGGTTAAAATAGTAATTTGTTAACTGGTTAATGGGTAGAATATTGTACAAGTGAAAGTAGGCTAATCTTCCTTTACATTTCAGTTCTAAGTGTTATCATTCACCTATGCAGAATGTTGCTCCAGAACACACACCTGATATCGTTGTGTATATAGATGCCATATCAATTGTCTTTGAAGAAGCTTCCAAAAATGGGCCACCTTTATCTTTACCAACTGCATGTATAGAAGCTGGGAGTGACCACTGTTTACCAAATCTAGCTCTCAGGTTTCTCCATTTGATCTTATACACTTTTCTAAATAAAACATCTCTACATTGACCCGATCTATTTTAATTGATGGTTCATTTTGTATACTTAATGATGTATTCTCTGCCTTTTGCAGTTCAATTACACTCTAAATCCTCAAGATTGGCATTACTCCATATTATTGATCTACTCTCCTTGCCTTCTCTTGAAATACTTGCACCAAACCGACATTGTGCTACCCATTATATTGTTTTAACTGAGATTAGAATGTTAAGATAATTGCATAATAACATTATGCAGATGGCTTTATTTTAAGCAAGATAGAAGAGAATGAAATAGCTAGACATTGAATGTACTTTTCCCAATTAACAAGTATACAAGGTTTAAAATCAAATTAGCATTACTGGGAAGAGTGGAAATAATAGCCACGTATAGAGCAACAGATAAGTCATCAGGATTTAGTAAACTTTGAAGATCTGCTCAATGTTATGCATAAAGTTTAAATGGTTGAAGAGTATCATATTTTAGTATTCAAAACAAGCTCACCTCATCTGTTAATCAACATCTAACACTTGAATCTTCTCTGCTTTACCTAGTCAATATAAATTATTTTTTCATAAATTTTCCAACAGATACACTATTTCTTATTCATAGATTACTGTTTGATTTTTATTGTTTAAAAAAATACTCCCTCCGTTCTCCAATACATGTCTCCCTTTCCATTTTGGGATGTTCTCCAATACATGTCTCCCTTTCCTTTTTTAGAAAGTTTTTTCAATAAATATACCTATATACCCTCATTCCCTTTCCTACTTTTTCCTTTACACACAACCCACAACACCTTTTACCTTACCCCTATTAATTTCTTCTTAAATCTTGTGCCAAAGGCCATAGAGCCATCTATTAGAGAATGAAGGGAGTATGTATCGGCTGACTCAAGCCCTCTCCCATGGAAATTACCATTGTTCTAAAACTTGCTAGGCGTTAGTCGGACGGTTGAGGGGTGCCTAGTGCCTAGGCGGCCGGCTAAGTCGATTTTTTGGCCGACTAGGCCAATTTTTAGAACAATGGAAAATACTAATGTGTAATTCCAGTACGTGTTCAACACGCACACTGCACTTCTTTAGAAGTTCTTGCTTCATAGCTTATCTTGTTACTGTTCGATTTTTGTTTTCCTTTTCCTATTTTTTTGAATGAAATATGTAGCTAGTTTTTTAATCTTTTCTAGCCCAAAGACTTTTGATTGGGTAGATGCTTAATTAGCGTTAAGAATTGGGTTTCGTCCTAAAAGGTCAATCATAGGAATAATACTAACTTATATATTAGTTTATTATTTTATACCAATCCGGTGTGGGACAAATATTTTTACATGTCCTCAACTCAAACTGGGCAGAACAATATGTGATTAGATACATAGGCCGAATAGATCCTAAATGGGCCACTCTAAATCATGGGTGTCAAATATAAAATCAAACATTCAAATCAAATTCGGACTTGACTCTCATATCATGTTAAGATTTGACATCATCAATCTTATATGAGTAATCCATAGTCTTATATAATAATTTAGTGTTTTAAATCAATTCGGACATGCAGTGTATACAACAAATACTTCAGCAATAAGTATTTTTTCTTTTTTGCAAAGATGTACAATCATTATATTATACCAGAAGTGTCGTGATTCGTGAGTATCTCATTTCGTCAGATTTTTAAAGAATTTATATTAAGAGATAAAGAACTTTTTCAAAATAAAGTTCTTTTTCAAAAGTGCATCAAAGGGAATTAATTAGAAAATCAAATGAAAGTGAAGCTTTGCTCATTATCTATATGGGAATAATTGGTATAATATCCCCTCCCTTCCGCCATACAAGAATATTAAATAAATCAATCAAACTAGTTTCCTTTCGAAATTGCAATAGAAGATATAAGAACAACAGAAAAACAATGACACATTCAAAAGATGAGTGTGACCGTTTGGTAGAGTTGCGTATGTTGCGTTGAATGGGTGGACATACTCACATACCCGAAAAGGCCGCTTGAGGAATGAGATAGTCAGAAAAAAACTTAAAGTAGCACCTATAGGAGATAAGATGTAGTCTCGAATGCGATGATTTGGTCATGTGCGTAGAAGATCGAGTAATACTCTTGTTAGACGAATTGAGAGGTGGGGAGAAGAGGCGGAGACGAGAGGGATATGATTATCCAAATAAATTTGGATTAGATGAATCAGAACTGATATGCTTCTTCTTGGGTTGGATGAGAGTATGACTTTGGAGACAGAAAAGTGGAGACGCATATTTGTGTGAACGATTGATCTTTTTTTCTCTTCTCTCTCTCTCTCTCTCTCTCTCTCTCTCTCTCTCTTTTATCTTCTTTATTTTTCTAAGTTATTATGTTATTTTTATCTTGTTATTTCTAGTGAAAATCGCGTCCAAAATTGCATGGGGTAAGACTGCGTACATCCGCCCCCCCTTACCCCACCGTTGGTGGGAGCTTTTGCGGCACTGGGGTAATGATGATGAATGATAGACTACCTCTGTCCCGCTTAAAGGTTCTCATTGTAAAATGACTCAATCATTTGGACAATAATTAAATAAGGTTATTCAAGTATATTTTGATAAATAGTTTTGATGGGTATCTAATATAATGGGGTCATTGATGATAACAATGATATTATAAATGTATTTTTTAATATTTGATGATTAAATTGTCATTTAAGAGTTTTAATTGTTTCTAAAATAGAAATAGGAACCTTTATATGAGAGGTCCAATAAAGGAAAGTGGAAACCTTTGAATGAGACGTCCAGAAAAGGAAAGTGGAAAGTGGGAACCTTTGAATGGGATGGATGGAGTATCTTTCTTATGTTTTTATGTTATTTTTATCTTATATCTTTATCTTGTCTATTTTATCTAACCTTATTTTTTTAATTTTTCTTATCTTTCTTCTCTTTTTGGCTCTAAGATCATTGATCGATTCATGTTACCTGACCCCAAAATCTTTGAGAAATAAGGCTTGGATGTTGTTGTTGTACTCACTACTGCATCTTAAAAATCTCATTTGGGTGAATGTATGCCTTTGACAGGAGAGGTGAGGAACACTCCTTTATTCTCAAACCAGCAACTTCCATGGGGAAAAGATCCAAGGTCAGTAGTGAGAAAAGTTCACAGCTATCAAGCTCTAGTCCTGGAAATGTAGCATCCACAAGACAGTACTCTTTGAATGACAAGTGGAGAAATAGTGTGTCGCCCGCTGATCGTTATGCAATTCTTGTATCATGTAGATGCAATTATACCGGTATAATCTGTGTTTTATTCATCACACCTCGTCATCTATGCAGACATACTCTCTTCCACTCATTAGCTTGCTTCTTTCTCTCTGTTGGACGTCCTCATATTTAGGGTCTAAGCTGTTCTTTAAACAGCCAATAAGCTGGCGACCACGCATTTTCAGGGATTTGATGATCTCTGTTGCATCTGAAGGGTCAAAACAAACTTTAGGATCCAATGACAGAGCGGCAGAGCTTCCATCCCAGGTTTTTTGCTTATATTGAGACTTGATGATGTTATACCTACTTTTGTATCTACAAGAACTGTCTGTAATACATATCACTATATATCATCAGGTCCTAACTCTTCAAGCATCAAATTTGACATCTGAAGATCTAACAATGACAGTGCTCGCTCCATCCTTTACGTCTCTGCCTTCTGTGATGTCAGTTAGCTCACCGACATCACCAGGAAGTCCTTTTATTGATTCTTCTAGGCTCTCAGAGAAAGTAAATGACAGGAAAGTTGCTACTTCTCGTCAGAGTGCCAGCGCAGCATTAGAGAGTAAAGCAGTACAGGTGTCAAGTGGTCACAAGAGATCGGTTTCGTTTGATGAGCGAGTCATTTATATACCCGACATCCATCCAAGTAGTGATTCAGGATGTTCACATTTATGGTTGCAGAGTAGAGTTCCATTAGGGTAAGCATCACTAGTCTGTGTTCATTCTTTTCGTTTTGTTTAATTACTCTGCGTCTTATTTCTTTGCAAAAACTCGTGCACCTCAGATGTGTTCCTTCTCAATCGACAGCCACTGTCAAACTTGAGGTTCTTCCCCTGACAGATGGCATCATCACCCTTGATTCCTTGCAAATTGAAGTAAAAGAGAAAGGTATGTATGGAATTCTATGGTAATGTTGAAATTGAAGGGGTGCTAGTAATTTTATTGAATCTTATGAAAGGTAAATAGCATATGAATACTAAGGGGGTGTTTGGATCTGATTCTCAAAAATGATTCTGCTGATTCGGGGAGCAGAAGCAGAAACTGGAGTGTTTGGGTGAAATTCCAGAAGCACTTCTGGTGCTCTAATTTACTCTCAGAATCAGTTTTTTTAGAAGCTGGTAGGTACCAGCTTCTGAAAACAGATTCTGATTCTGCTTCTGCTTTAAAAAAGAAGAAGCAGAATCAGTTCCAAACACCCCCTAAAGCGTCGACTGTCCTGAACAAAATAATACAGACAAAAGTAATGTGGAAATGAAAAAAAAAAATGTCATGTTCTCTTGCCTAAACAAATCTCTCACTTTTCCAAATTTGTGAGAAGATTAATTTTAGTGGAGACCAGGGTGCTCTGGTGCCCGCTGTGTTCTACTGTTCTGTACCCTTCACGATTTGGTTTGTCATTTTTTGAATTACTTACTAATTAATTGACACGGAGTAGTATTTAAATATGTTGGCGATTTACTTGTTTTTCATGAAGACAAAATTCTACTTCGTTTAATATATCATATCTGGCATTACAGGCCTCACATACATACCGGAGCACTCTCTGAAGATATATGCAACTTCAAGCATTTCAATTGGGGTGCAATGATATTTTCCCTGATTTTAAGTCACTCACATCGGTGGAGTAAGGTGTCCCTCTCTGGTTCTCTTGCCATTTATTATATGCATTTATTAGTGATGGCTTTGTATCTACTATTCGATAGTGGGGTGGAAATTTCATTCGCCGCCTTTAGATGAGGTTGGCCTTGGTATGATACGCCATTTCTGATCAAGCACTCTCTCTCTCTCTCTGTGAAGCAAACATGCTGTTTTGAACTTTCTTTGGTGATTAAGGAGCATATACTATCATGTCCCTATATAAAGTTCATGTTTTACCATTACTATTTACAATTATATATTTATAAGATCTATGATGATTGATGAATTATTACGTACTAGTAGTATTTTAAAGTGATATTCCAAAGCAAATTGTTCAAGGTACAAATTCACTCGCCTCTTTGTCTCCGGGAACATATAAATTCCTATTTACGACCCAAAACAAACATGCCTTTATGGTTTGGCCGTTTGGGTCTTTGGGACATTCCTCAAAATATAAGAGTAAAAACTAGGGGATTTTCCTTAATAGAAATTGTCGAGGAGTAAGGAGGATTTTCCTAAACAGGTTTAAGTGATGTCAGAAAAAACTGCCTAATATGACATTAAAAGCTTCTTTGATTATACTAAAATTGGTTACTGACTTGAAATTTATGAAATTCCGGTTGAAGTGATTCACTATGTTAGAAAAAGTAATCATGAAAAATAGTTAAAATGATCTTGTACAGTACTTTCACCAATTTGGCTAGAAAAATAATTTCAGTCTTACTTTTTATTATTATTATAAAATTTAGTAATCACCATAAAAATACTCGTTAGGGATATAACTTAAGCTTCGACATTTTGTTCTAAACATGAGGCGTTTCTTCTCTATGCTTCGATATGTTTAATAAAATTCCATTATATTACTGCATTAAAAATGTGTCTAATTACCATATTTTGGAATGATGACCCATATTAATATTCATGCAAATTTACTTTTCAAAAGCGTAGAATGTATGTAAACCATATCATAATTTAAATATATTCCACAAAATAATTACCATCATACTACGTATCAAGTATCAGCTATCAATGAGACTTTTATTATATACCACTTAATACTCCGTATAAGTTTTCTTTCTTTTAAAAATAAATTTTAATATTAAGTATGTGTAAATTTGGTGTTTTGTTATTCTGAAACTCTTGCATTAATGTTTTTTTTGTTGCACTTTCGGTAAACAATACGGAGTAGTATTTTGTTTTCTGTTAAATGTCAACATCCTTGATTTGGATGAGTTTCGAACTTGTGACTTTCTCCTTAGGAGTGTCACAGTGATGTCATCGAACCACAAGATGTTAGACTTGCATTAATGTTAAGAAAGACCTTTTCTTAAATCTTTTAAATTTATTTTGAATCATTCTCAATAAAATATTACTAATTAATTTATATTCCTGTCATCCCAATATTATCTCTTGTTTTTACTTTGCACACGAATTAAGAAAATGAATAATGTGTAGCCTAAAGTTGTGTAGATGAGAGGGAAAGTGGAGACAAATATTCTGAACCATAAATTTTTTACCAAAAAAGAAAAGAGCCTCAAATGAAAAAGATAATATTGGGACATACGCACTACTATTTCAAATTGCAACGATTTTTCCTTTTTAAAATGTGTTCTTTCATATAAAAACATTGAATATTCACTTCACCCAAAAGAAATTCACTTCAACCGAGAGTAAAATATCATTTAAGTAAGGATGTTTTCTTTTGGACTGTTTTCAATCTTAGACCAGACTTAAAGAGATCAGACCAGATCATATCATACTTGTACATGTATAAAATACATAGAGATCAAACATTTAGCAGATCAGACTAGCTCAGATCAAACCAGACCAGACCAATAAATTTCAATCCAAAAGAAAACATCCTAATAATTGTTCAATCCAATGCCTAAATTACCCGACTGCGAAGCGTGAGCGCTACTTATACCATGGATAGAGTATTTTTCATCCTTTTTTTTACTTCCCAATTCCTAATTTCGTTGTTTGACCTTTTATCTGTATCGACCATCATACTTTCTTGGGTTGAAAAAGGATGTGTCTCATATTTATATATGTATAGTTTTATATAGTAAACTTGAGTTAAAAAAAACAATGATGTGTCAACTTCTTATTAGATAATGGAAATTCTATTATCATTACAACTAGATTTTCACCCGTGCGTTGCACGAGATGCAATTCATAATTAAAAATCCACGCATACTATATGTGTGTATGTGTATAATGTTGTAGATGTTTAAATTCATTTATTCTAACGACTCGAACCCAATTAATGTACTACTCTGTCCCCTTTTAAATGTCCCGGAGGAGGGTGGCACAGATTTTAAGAAAAGTAGGTTTGTGTGGTTGATATTAATTGATAAAGTAAGAATAAAGTAGGAATGATTTTGAGCCACATAAACTTTACCAAATAAGATATGGGACATTTAAATAGGGACATCCCAATATGGTAAAACGGGACATTTAAAAGGGGACGGAGGGAGTATATAATAACAACACTAATGGTATACATTTCCTAAAATACATTGTATGATAGAACTTTTTATCACTATGTGATAGAACTTCAATACATTTGAATTCTTATTCTTTTTATATTGGACTATGTGTCTCCTCGATAGAGAAATTGGATTAAGAAAAACCGACCAAATTTTTTAGTGGATGTTCCCGTTTTTAATTAAAAGTTATGTAACTAATCATTAACAGAAATTGTTTAACCTTTAGAATTAAATGAGTCTTATGTACCAATCCAAATAATGCTTGTGAGTTGTGTAACACTGTAACCCGAACACAACTTAATACTCCCTATTAATCAGTTTTAGCATTAATAAAGCCGAATTTGAATTGGACTGATCGTTTTTGGGGAAAATATACCACATCTGACCCAATTTTGCTTTCGTTTATTTAACTAAGGAGTCGTGGCTCCAAAACCCATCAGATATGTTCCGATTCCAAAACCGTAATTATGTTTACCATGAATATGGATATATACATAACAAATACATATGTTGGGGAAGAGCGGGAAAGCTATTGTAGATCCATTCTCACTTAGATTCCTTTGAACCTTTGAGATATTCTAGCTAGAACACGTACACAAACACACATACCGAGTAATACTTCGAAGTAAACCCTCATAATGTGAGCCAAATAAGCCAATGACATTAGAATTGATTTAGTTACATCAAGGGGCGGATCTGATGTAGGGGTGTAAACGAGCCGAGCCGAGCCCGAGCCCGAGCATGGGTATGCTTGAACTTGAGCTTGATAAGAATTCACGAGCTCGAGCTCGATCTCGATCTGGGACGAGTTAAATAATTCGAATACGATCTCGAGTCGAGCTCGGCTCAAGCTCCATTCGAGCCTGATTCGAGCTCGGGTCAAGTTTCGCTAATTAATTTTTATAGGTTTGAACTCGAATAAGATGCTCGAACTCAAGCTAAAAATATTGTGTACTTATTCATTCTCACTTTTAGTTTATCTCTCATTTACTAACATTATTATTCTTTATTTTACTGTCAATAAATATTAGGGAAAATGGAAACTAATAATCCAACCTTTTAGTGGTCTTCTTACAATAGTCTCACCTTTTCGTTATTCATGAATAATCCAACCTTTGCACCTCATCTTCATTCGTTGGTCCCTAACCGGTTGATGATCTGCTATTCAAAGTTATTTTCATATCTTTGCAAACCATTATACCATAAATCTCACCTTTCACAACGATAATATTTTGCAAAGATAAGAAAATAACTTGGAATAGCAAGTTATTAACCGGTCAGGGACCAACGAATGAAGATAGGGTGCAAAAATTGGATTATTCTTGAATAACGAAAAGGTGAGATTATTGTAAGAAGACTGCTAAAAGGTTGGATTATTAGTTTCCATTTTCCCTAAATATTAAGAGTACATATTATAATTATTACAGATAATGGTTATAATAAAAATACTACACACATGTTATTATTTTTGTAATTATTAGTCTTATAATATACTATGTAAGTATTGAAAATGGAATAATAGTCCTAAATTAGAATATATATTTTAAAAAAAGTATATATATAATTATTACATACTCCGTATATATTTATTATATATAAAATATTACCCAAAGGCTCGCGAACCGGCTCGCGAGCCACGAGCCTAAAATAAATAGGCTTGAATTGAGCTTGTTAACTATTCGAGTCAAGCCGAACTCGAGTCGATCTTAATATGACCGAACTCGAGTCGAGCTTTTCCCGAGCGATCCACGAGCAGCTCGCGAGCGGCTTGACTCTTTTACACCCCTAATCTGATGTAGTCCAGCTACAGGTCTATGAGAGAATAACACAACTCAAAATGCAGACCCTTCCATATAAAAAACTGAATGAACATAACATGGTTTTGTTCATAACTATTTATGTCATGAAAAGAAGCACGTCACAAAGGACCATTAAAATTGAATCCGAAGGGGTCAAACCCCTTTTGTAATATTTGGAGTTTGGACCTACAATAATAAAAAAGGCTGGTTTTTTAAATAAAGAAAACATATACACATGTCCAAATAATTTATGATTAATCACTTATCAAAATAAGTAATCAATTCTAAAACTCCCTCTGTCTCATTAAACTTGATCAAATGTTACTTACACGTAGAATAATAAAGTAAAAATTGATCGCCACTAATTCCATCCGTCATTTTCAGGAAAGTGACTAAATTTATACGAAGATCAAATCAGATAGAAGTAACCAACAGAGAGTAACCAAATATATCTAGGGCCTCTAACAATTCAGATAAAAGTCATCATTTCATCATCATTTTCATTTACCCCAGTGCCGCAGAGGCTCCCACCTACGGTGGGGTAAGGGCGGGTCGGATGTACGCAGTCTTACCCTTGTACTAAAGCATAGAGAGAATGTTTCCGGACCCATAGTGAAAATCGCGTCCAAAATTGCATCGACTAACTGCTGCTTCATAACAAAGAAGCGCAAACAGTTTAGTGAGCCTTTTTGCTTTATTCTATTATATTCTCAAGCCAAAAAATAATGAATATTTGGCTCCATTTCAAATGATGTAAAAGTGAACAAAAAGAATTATTCATTATCAAATTAAATCAAAACGTGCTGCTACTGAACATTACCATGGACGGTTTGCAAAGACTGTCTTATTAACACGTATTTTGAACAAATTTGAGAATGCTTGTAGCTCTTCAGCCTTGGTCAAGCTACAAATTTTCTACCTTACGTTGAAGAATTTGGAGCAGATAATGCTTTGTGAAGCAACTTCAAATGCAGAAAACATTCATTGCCTAAAATTCTTCTTCCCATCTTTACATACCTGATTGAGATTTATTA